CCACACTGCAGCTCAAGAATGAGCCGTACTAAGTCACAGTCGTCACGTTGCACACCCTTCAACAAGTCAAAGCTGTCCCTTGACGGGCCGTCTGCTATGTTGGCCGCACTACTTACACGTTCGAACCACGGGAACGTGCTGTGCCTTTCTTCCCAGCACGCAAGCCACTCCAGTAGAGCGCCAAACTGCACAGAAGGGGTTTTTGCCGCTATGAAGGCAGACTTGGCTGCTTCATTATCGACAAAGCACACGATTTCCGAGCCATGAAGTAAAGGGCACCACAAATCGAGGGCCGCGATTACGGCTAAACCTTCAAGAAAGTAGATCGGGCTGTTATTCTCAGAGAACTTAATGGGGTCAAGAAGATCGCTGCGAAATTCAAGCCCGAAGCACCTGATGGGCTTGCCGTCCGATGCGACGAGCACAGCACCAATCCCACAGGGGTGTTCTGCATCGACCTCGTAAGAAGCGTCTGTGAAGAGAAACCAAGTGTTCTCTCTCCGTGCAGAGATGACACGTGGTGGCGCTCCTACAACCCTATCCCTGAGGAACCGAAGTGCGTCGCAGAGGTCATCGTCGACTGCGGAGCCGCCGATGAACTCGGCTCGAAGCGACAGCACACGCATGTGCTTGTGGCACCGACGGCCGTGGATCTGTCCTTCCACAAACTGCAGCCGGGCGCGCAAGGAGGCAAGTGCATGCTGATCGACCCACTGAGCAGAGAGCATGTCGGAGATCGTCTCGTTGAGTTCGTCCTTGCGCTCCTGAGTGTTTTCCACCACAAACATGCGCTCGGATTGAAAGCAGATTTTGACTCCCAGAGCTCTCGCAAAGTAAGCAAACTCGGTTTCTTTGTCAAGCGCGACCGACCAACCAAGCAGGCTCCAAAAACTGCCCAAGACGAGCTCGCAATGTTTAGCAGACGATGCTTCATTGACGGCAATGGAATCGTCATAAAACACAGTCCAGTGAAGCAAGAGAAGAGCCCATCCTAAGTGCCAGAGGCTCATCGTTGTTCTGCAGAACGCTGCCACCGACGCGGCCGCGCCGAATGGTAAAACAATAAAACATGGCACTCGTAAACATTCGGCGTGCCTGTCTCAGGATTGGGCACACTGAGGAAGGCATCTTGCAAAGCATCCGAAGAGATTCCCAATTGTTTGTAGGCTTTAAGCAAGTCGATGATCTTAAGCTTCGGCACGGTGGCTTTCCCGGCCCGCTCGCGCACACGGAGCCTGTATGCAATGGCGGCGCAGACAACATCGAGGCCATGAGGTTGGATGGACTCGACCCGGGACACCGTGCTGTTGATGAACGACTCGCTCAAATTGTCGATCGGCCTGACCTCGCGCTTGCCCCCAGAGCTTTGCACGACGCCAAACCGTCTGCTCAAGGACGCGGTCTCACTCAAGCTCTCAAGGGGAATGGGGCCGGCAAGCCACCCCCTTTTCACCTCGTCTTGCGTGAGATCATGGACTTCTTGAGCAAGCTCGGTTGTGCACGCGCGAGCGGTCGCCTGCAAGATGCCCGCGCGAACTGCCGGTGCAGCAGCACGCAAACACTCCTTGGACATAGTTGCTGGCTCAACTACAGGCTTGAAGAGACCCCCAGACGAGGGGATGGGACCGGTGAGGTCAAACCCCCGTCCGATCTCAGATGCGATGGAGGTGTCAACGTAGCCACTTGCAGCGAGCATCTCCTCAAAGACGAGCAGCTTCTTGCCTTCAAGAACCTTAACCAAGTGACCAGGCATGCTTTGGCGAAGCTTCTTTTCCTGTGGTTCGATTTCCTGAGCACGAAGGAACCATCGCCGCAAAACTTCCGTCCTATGTTGAGATAGAGCCGCATCAGACATTTCCAATGTGGCATCAATCGCCGCTTTGAGGACCGGTGGGACAGCGTCTCTCTCTGGGGAGGGTGTTGTCAGCTCCCACTCTGTGATAGCTACAGGCCCAGGTTCGAGACATAGGTCAGAATTCGTTACTTTTGGGCACTGACGATCTGCGGGCCTACGGCCCGCTGCTCCCACGATCGTAGGGGCTCTAAAGTCTTTGCAAAACGGGATTTAGAAGTGCTTTAGGGGGGCGCGTAC